CAAACCGAGCATCAGAATGGGGAAGAAAGGGGATTTAAGTGAATTTTAACATGGCATGGTTGTTGGTGCAAGATGGGCTACTCTGATTATTTAAAAAACTGCTGATTTACTAGGATTTTCACACACAACCATCTCTAGGGTTTACAGAGAATGGTCCAAAAAAGAGAAACTATCAAATTATCTAGTTGTGTGGAGGAAAATGCCTTGTTGATGTCAGAGATCAGAGGAGAATGGGCAGACTGGTGTGAGATGATAGAAAGGCAACAGTAACTCAAATAACCACTCAATACAACCAAGGTATGCAGAATACCATCTCTGAACGCATAAAACGTCGAACCTTGAAGCAGATGGGCTACAGCAGCAGAAAAAACAACACCGGGTGCCACTCCTGTCAGCTAAGAACAGGAAATGGAGACTACAATTCGCACAAGCTCACCAAAATTGGAAAATAGAAGATTGGGAAAACGTTGCCTGGTCTGATGAGTCTTGATTTCCCTAGAGATGGTTGTGCGTGAAAATCCCAGTAGACCAGCAGTTTTTGAAATACTCAGAAAACCTATCTGGCTCCAACAACCATGCCACGTTCAAAGTCACTTAAATTCCCTTTCTTCCCCATTTTGATGCTCAGTTTGAACTTCAGCAAATTGTCTTCACCACATCTAGATGCCAAAATGCATTGAGTTGCTTCCATGTGATTGGCTGTTTGCCAATTTGTGTTACCAAGCAATTGAACAGGTGTATCTAATACAGTGGCTTGTGAGTATATCTTCATTGTTCAGAAACTGAAAAGGCCTGTAGATTTAAGGAACTGACACGTCACCGTTGATGAGTCACTGACTGAAACTTCCCATCAGGCTCCCTGACAAAATCCGGTAAGCTTGTGGCTGTAGATAAAGGAGGGGGCAGGCCATCAGAGTAAACCTCCAGACGTGGGAATTGCAGGTCATGGGTGGGATGTTGTGCCACTTTGGGGCATCGCACTGTCTGGGACCATTACACAGAGAGAATATGTTTCATCTCTCATAAGATCCAAAATATAATTTATAGAAAGATGGGAATTATTCCTTCGATAGTACAAGCAATGAGCTGCACGTATATACAAAATAGTCAGTCCTGCCCTTATTGAACCGCCTAGCAACCGGCTAAATGGTTTTATGGATCTACTCAGAGCAACCTCGTTGTGTTTGAGCTTGTTCAAATGTTCTATATAGCTTATGGCCACTTCAGAGACACAGACTTTCCTCACACTTGATGGGTTACCCACGTCAAAGGTGATTGGTTATGGGAGAGAAGTCCATCCCACCTCTCTACTCCTATAATATTCGGTGACATGCAACTGAAAAGTGTAGTTGGTCCTTTAACACCAGGACATAACATTTGTATCCGCATTCAGATAATTGCTCACACTTTCAGATGGAATAACTTCCACCTCCCTACCAGACTCATCCACCTTACCAACTGTTCATTGTTTGCCACCCCTCTTTGCCAGTCCCTGCACTGGCTCCTGCTCACCCAACAAATAAAATTCATGATACACAACTTATAAAGCCATCCACAATTCAGACCCTAGTTACATCACTAACCTGGTCTCAAAATACGACCCAAATCATTCTCTTCATTCCTCCCAAGACCTCCTGCTGTCTAGCTCCCTTGTCACCTCCTCCCATGCTTGCCTTCAGGACTTCTCCTGAGCCGCTCCCATCCTCTAGAACTCACTTCCTCAATGTGTTCGTCTATCTCCATCTCTGTCCACTTTTGGATGATCCCTAAAAATTCATCTCTTCAGAGAAGCCTATCCTGCCCCCACCTTACAACTGTACATGCATTTTTTCCATCAGTCCATCCCCCACAGTTATCACCTTTTGTATCTCTCGAGCTTCCCTCTTAGATTGTAAGCTCTAATGAGCAAGGCCTTCTGAATCCTCCTGTATTCATTTTTATTGTAACTGTACTGTCTGCCCTTATTATTATTATTATACAGTATTTATAAAGCGCCAATAGTTCGCTCAGCGCTGTACATTACAATGGGAGACAGAACATGTGACAGAACAATACCAATACAATGCAAAACATGAGGGGATCGAGGGCCCTGCTCTTTCGAGCTTACAATCTAGGAGGGAGGGGATAGCTGTGGGGGATGGAGTGGTAGGAAGAGTGGAGGAGGTCGGCAAGTTAGCAAGGGGTGGGGTAGGCTTCCCTGAAGAGATGGGTTTTCAGGGTGCGCCTAAAGGAGAGGAGAGTAGGTGATAATCTGATGGGTTGGGGCAGGGAGTTCCAGAGGATGGGCGACACCCTGGAGAAGTCCTGGAGGCGGGCATGGGAGGAGGAGACCAGGGAACTAGAGAGAAGGAGGTCTTGTGAGGAGCGGAGTGTGCGTGCTGGGCGGTACTTGGATATTAGGTCGGTGATGTAGTTCGGGGCAGTATGGTGGACGGCTTTGTACGTCAGTTTTAGGATTTTGAATTTGATCCGTTGCACAATCGGAAGCCAGTGGAGGGATTGGCAGAGGGGGGGTGGTGGAAACGGAGCGGTTTGGAAAGGTGAAGGAGTCTGGCAGCCATATTCAGGATGGACTGAAGCGGGGATAGCCAGCGGCGAGGCAGGCCAGTGAGGAGGGAGTTGCAGTAGTCGAGTCGTGATATGATGAGGGAGTGGATGAGCTGTTTAGTGGTTTCTGGGGTTAGGAACGTGCGGATTTTGGCGATGTTGCGGAGGTGGAGTCTGCACGAGTTTGTTAAAGATTGGACTTGGGGCTGGAAGGATAGGTTGGAGTCCAGAATGACACCAAGTACTCTGGCCTGCGGGGCAGGTTTGATGGTGGCGTTGTTGGATGTGATGGAGAAGTCAATGGGGGGTGGTGTCCGGGCTGGGGGGAAGACAAGAAACTCGGTTTTGGAGAGGTTCAGTTTAAGGAAGTGGAGTGACATCCAGTCTGATATGTCGCTCAGTAGGTGTGTGATTCGGCCAGAGACCGAGGGGGTGAGGTGGCCTATGTTGTAAAGTACTGCATAAACTGTTGGCGCTATATAAATCCTGTATAATAATAATAATAATAATTCCCTTGAAATGAGTGATGATCCCCAAAGTGGCATGACATCCCCCCACCTCTGACCCACAATGGCCAAGTCTGGAGAATTGCTATGATGGCTTGCCCCTCCCCCTCCCACTTAAGTGACAGTTGAATTGTTCACCTTTATTTACAGCCACAAGTCTACAGAATCATGTTGGGGAAGCCTGAGGGAAGTTCCTGTTGATTCATTAGCAGTGAGGTCTTAATTCCTTAGATCTGCAGATCGACAGCCTTTCAGATTCTGATTTATGAACATACAGTACCTGTAATAATATCATCTCACATTCTGTATCTAATTTTTGAAAAATGACAGAGACAGTAACATGCTGCGGTCTACAGAGAGCAGAATTGCACAGGTCAACAGTGACACATGCAGCCTGTTCGTTCCGTGCTTGTCCGCCATTTACTGCAAACTGCAGAATTATCTTCCCTAAGATGATCCTATGTATTCCCTGCTGGCAATAGACAGATACACTTTATGAAAAAGAAATTCAATATGAATTTAACCAATCAGAGTCTTATGTAATTGAAAATAAAGTTTTCCTTTAGCAGTAGCTTTATATGGATCAACTGCAGCCATTATCATTTATTAATATAAAAGTAAATTCACAATTTGTTCTAATCATATCCTCTGACCAGCTGAGTTTCTGTAGTCACCTGAAGTCTCTGTAGTAAATAGACAATCTCTGCAGCCACAACACGCACGTTGTTTGCAGCCTGCACATACAGCAGTACATTGCCTGATCCACGGCGCCAATCCACCCCCCGATACAGTTCACATCTTCCACCAACAGGAGCTCCTATTCAGGGAATGTTTTTTTTTCAAAGTTACATTGAACAATAACATGAAAAACAAAAAGAGGATATAAAACACATGAAGAAAAAACACCCCTACCACCCAGAATTAGAAATGTAATAATGTTATGTAGTAAAAAGGAACTTCTATTTTAAAAACATTTCCCTATATTAATAAGCATATACAGTACTTCTACATTTAGCAAAGTGATTTCCATATATTTTCATATTTTTAACATAAAGATACTTAAAGTGGTTGTAAAGACTGAAGGTTTTCTTTATGTTAATGCATTCTCTCCATTAAGGTAAAAAACCTTTCAAGCTTAGCTCCCCCCCAGCCCCCCTAAATACTTACCTAAACCCGATCTCGATCCAGCACTGTGTTGAAGGGCAACATCACTGCTCTCTCTCCTCACTGGACATAGAGGCAGCAGCCAGAGACATTTGCTCCTGCTGCTGTCAATCAAATTCAGTGAGGATGGAGCCGGGGGCGGGGCCAAACCACGCTATGTGTGTTTATAGACACACAGAGCCAGGCTCAGGAGCGAGCTCCAACTTCTACCTTCATAGCAAGCACTTGCTATGGGGCAGACACTAAAGAGGTGGAGCAAACAGCGCCAGAAGGGGGACCCCAGAAGAGGAGGTTCAGGGTTGCTATGTGTACAGAGCAGGTAAGAAGAACATGTTTGTTATTTTAATTAAAAAATAGTCTTTAGTAACCCTTTAAAGTGTATCTAAAGCCAAAACTTTTATTTTAGTTTTGGATGGATTAGGGAATAATGAGAACACTCATCATTTTTTTTGCTATTTCTCATTAGGGAGATTTTTCTTTACTTGCTGTCCTTGAGACACAGTGAGAAGTGAGAGGAAAACTCTCCTTGGTGAGGGAAATTCTCAGTTGTCACAAGAACAGGTGTCCCCATTAGAATATTTTCCTTCTGTTCCTGTCCTGGTAACAATTGTAAAACTTTGGGTTTCCCATCATTTTTTGTCTTAGTGACACCAGGAATAATCTATAGCGGACACTCACGTGACATATGTCAGACACCCAGTTATTCTCCGCTCGGTCACCCATCCCGTGTGCAATTAAAATTGTCTTCCGGGATGTCCGGAATGAAGAGGAATTGAAGCTGGAAAAATTCCTGGCGCTGATTGTCTGTATAAAGTATAAAATGAGAATTTTTTTTTTTTAGAGATCAAACATTTGACGTGTGAGAAGACTACAGAGGAGCAGATCTGCTGAGGGTCGATAATGTACACATCAACAAATGGTGACTATTTCTTCTTTACATGTAAAGGTGACCACACATGTTACAACTGGATTGAAGAATCTGCTTTAAGATGGCCATATACTTTACAAATCTAATTGTATAACCTGGTTTGGATATGTCTAAGGTTATGGAGTGCCAAGACCTTCCTAACTGGGTACAAATAGAAAGGATTTATGGGAAAGTTTTCTTTCCACTTCTTGTAAATCTAAAGCTCACCATATGCATAACAATCTGACTGTACAATCTTTGTACTACTTATTTTATCAAAACGATGTAATATGGGGACCTACCTAATCCATCCAATACATTTTTATCCTGTCAGGTAATCCCCTGTACTACATAGCTGTAAGCAGATATGAAATAAATTGCTCAGTCACATTTTAATGTGTATGGAGAGTTTAAAGAAGTTCTCAGAGAAATTGCACACCTTAAAGTGAAGGCAACAGAAACATCAGCCCAGGGGCGGACTGACCATTTGGAAACTCGGGCACTGCTCAAGGGCCCGGGGTCAGTAGGGGGCCCTATGAGATGCCCCTGGTACCTTTTTCATAGGCTTTTTTGAGTTTGAGCAAGGACATAGGGGCCCCATGATCCCCCATGAGTTGTCAGTCCGCCCCTGCATCAGCCTTTCCATATAACAGTCTAATGCACAGTCACCACAGGAAATCATGAATCTGGTATGATTTTGAGTCTGGTATGGATTTTAAAGGGGTACCCCATGCAAAATAAGAAAAAAGCATGCAGCCCCCCAGGGAATCACAAAATTCACACACAAATCCATGCCCTCAACATGGGGGGTACCGTGCCAGGGGGGACCTCCTTGCCAAAGTACCTTTTTCCTATGTTGATGAGGACAAGGACCTCTTCCCCACAACCCTGGCTGGTGGTTATGAGGATCTGCGTTTGTGGGGGGGATTATAGGAATCTGGAAGCCCCAAGATACTGTCCCCTCCCCTCATTCACAAAAAAAAAGAAAGAAAGAAAAACTGACAACAATAACCTCACAACTCCACTCACTGAATGACTGTTAGCCAAGCTGTCATCGGCAATATCAGGGAAGGGGCAGGGAAATGGATCGCATCATTGTCCATATGGCCATATTTAGGCAATGATGTAATCCCTGATCCTTGCCCACTGCCTATATGGCTGGGGATTCCTGGCCAAGCAAATTAATGGGCTGGATGACGTCAGTGGTTTGTAAGGGTGTACTGGGTGCAAGCAACCACTGCTTGCATAGCAACCATTTACAGCTGGAAGCTCTCATGTTTGTCTATGCTAAATAATCAATGTTCTCCCGAAATGTTCATTCAGACAGAATACTGAGCTCATCCCTAATCCTGGGTCACATCACTGACCAAATTTAGTTATTGATCAGATTTAGTTAAAGATCCCACCATGTGTTTTATGTTAACACAGTGCTGGGGATCTGTCTTTTAGTGTTTGGAGTACGACCTGTACACATGGCATAGGGTCATTGTAATTGAGGAGTGGTTTCTATGTGTTTATTTTATCTTATTGTGGGTACCCTTGCATTCATTGCCTTGGGAAGGGTTGGATATGTGGGTACTCCCTTGTTATAAAGAGGGTGTTCAGATTCCACTATTAGTTCCCCCATATTACGCCACCACCTTCTTGGGGCACTGGAATTGTGAAAGAGGCTTTTGTCCCTCAACATTGGGGCAGGGGTACTTTAATCTCGATTGGGCTCAGCCTGGCTTGGGAGGAAGCTTGTACATGTGCCACCATAGAACATTGCTTGCTATTGGGGGACCCCAGAAGAGGAGATAAGAGGCTTCAACGTGCAATATCCTTGCACAGAGCCACAATTTAAGGTGGATTCCTTTAGTGCATTTTTTGTCCATATACATCTGGAGTGGAGTTATCCTGGAGATCTGGAAAGTAGCAGTCGGATGATCAGCTGATGTGCGGATGTATACCAGATGATCCCAGAGGTTACCCTTAGGATGCTGATGACCAGGAGTGGTCTATGTACTCAAATGCGCTTATAATTGCGCTATCTGGTTAGTGCAATATATACTCATTCTCATATCCACTGGAAGCACGGAAGTTCACCTTTTTCATATATTGGACGTTTATCTCATTATTAGATGTCACTATCGCAACTTATGCGTCATATTTAGACGCTATTATCACCTTTGCCGTAGCGCTCCACAGCGCATTTTTTTATTTATTTACATTTTATTTGGTTGTTTTACGTCACCATTTTATATGTCATTTAATAGTGCTGCATTTCTGAATATGTATGTTTTATGAGGGTTGGAGGTTGACCTTTTATGCCAGCTGCTTATTCTATTCCACCTAGCGCTCGTATACCAATTATTACCATTCTCATCACTTACTGGCCAACCCTTACAAATGTACACTCACCGCCCACTTTATTAGGTACACCTGTTCAATTGCTTGGTAGCACAAATTGCTAATCAGCCAATCACATGGCAGCAACTCAATGAATTTAGGTATGTAGACATGGTGAAGATGACTTGCTGAAGTTCAAACCGAGCATCAGAATTGGAACGAAAGGGGATTTAAGTGACTTAGAATGTGGCATGGTTGTTGGTGCCAGACGGGCTGGTCTGAGCATTTCAAAACCTGCTGATCTACTGGCATTTTCACGTACAAAGAAAGGTCCGAAAAAGAGAAAATATCCAGTGAGCAGCAGTTGTGTGGATGAAAATGCCTTGTTGATGTCGGAGGTTAGAGGAGAATGAGCAGACTGATTGCTGCGACATTGAGATGATAGGGTCAGAATTTGGTATAAACAACATGACAGCATGGATCCATCCTGCTTTGTATCAATGGTTCAGGCCGGTGGTGTAATGGTGTGTATCTATTAAAGTGGCTGGTGTATTTTCTAGGTGTGGGCAGTGTGTATAAAAAACAAAGTTATTAGTGCTAAACATTTGTGCTTAAAATTTGAGCAGCAATACAGACAAACCTGATGGTAATTTGGGTTCTCCCGGGACAGAAGGAAGAATTGGGTATTGATCTTTTTTGGAGACCAGGGCAGCTTGGGTTCTGGCCGTGGGATGGTCTTACCCCAAGGTGGATCATCCGAGAAACAGCCAAGGTCTTCATAGCAGACTTCATCACCTGGAGGACACAGAGAAGACATGTAGTTGACTTGAGCTGAGCTTAAAGTGAACCTGTTTTTTTGGTGTTCAGTTTTTACATTGCTCACTCAACTGATTCAATTCAAGATACTTACAACTTACAAAGTCATCCACAACTCCAATACCAACCAAATAGTTCTCTTCATTCCTCCCAAGACTTCCTGCTCTCTAGCTCCCTTGTCACCTCCTCCCATGCTCACCTCCAGGACCTCTCCAGAGCCACTCCTATCCTTTGAAATACCTTTCCCCAATGTGTCCGACTAGCTCCTACTCTCTGTCCACCTTTAAACGATCCCTGAAAACTCATCTCTTCAGAGAGGCCTACCCTGCCCCCAACTAACGACTGTACGTGTATTTTCTCCATCAGCCCATCCCCCACAGTTATTACCTTTTGTATCCCGTGACCCTCCATCTAAGATTGTAAGCTCTAACAAGCAGAGCCATCTGATCCCCTCCTGTATTAAATGGTATTGTAATTGTACTGTCTGCCCTTATGTTGTAAAGTGCTGCGTAAACAGCTGGCGCTATATAAATCCTATATAATAATAATAATCGTAAAAATAATAATAATTACTGTGCAAATAGCAGTGGAAAAATCAACAGTTTTGCTCCTTCTATTTGACTTTCAATACATTTTTACTGTGAAAAGATTATAAGATATAAAACATAGCGTAATGCTCCTTCCATTTCATTGACCATCTCTACAGCCATATGGAGTTGGGAGTTCTGAAGACTGCAGACAATTATTCATCATGGCTGCACCCAGCACTCATAGGCTGCTGCACTGTCTCATGGATCATTTAGAATTTTCTGTACTAAAGTCAGACCAGTAAAAGTGAGAAGCTGCCCTGAGCTTTTGGGAAACAATTTGGAGTTAACCCTTGAGAGACCTAAGGTTGACTTTTATGGACCCCAGTTTTTTTCTGAGTTTACCTATACACTCATTTAAGCTTCATTTGTTGTTGTTTTTTTTTCTTGCCAGTAATAGTGAAAATCTGATTGGCTGCTATGGCTTACTGCATTTTAGATTTCTTTATTAAATAAGGCCATTTTAACTTTTTTAAATCTATTTTTTTTACAGTGCTTACAGCTGGTTAAAATGTTTGGTCTTAATCCCTGTTTAAAGTCAAAAGTCACCTTTGCATTGGGACACCTGCTTCACTGCAAGGGTTAAATGCTAATTTTTGTTTAGGGGTCACATAAGCAGCAGTTGCACTTACCTTATCCCTTGCTCCCACACCGGTCCCCACAGCAGCTTCACTTCGGTGCTCCATTGGTTGCAGGCACTCTGACATCATCATGTACTATGCAGGACCAGCAGTCCTGCATTCAAAGTGAGGATGCCAAAAGCCTGCCCACAGCCTGGACTGTAAGAGGGAAGAGCAGAGCGCTGGCTGCTGGGGGAGAAAGGGGTAAGGCAAGTGAAACTGCTGTTTGTGTTACCCCCACACAAAAATGAGCATTTAACCATTTGCAGCTAGAGGGGAGTCCTGCTGCAGAGGGAATCTAAAACCAAAATTAAAATGAATGCAGTTTACTTGTTCTTAAATGTCCTGGCTGCATTAGGTTTCTATTTCCATTTTTTTCTCCTAATTTTCACTTGGTGATCCTGCCAGTAACATACTTCCTGTCCTAGGGTGACAGTGTTTACTCATTGTGTTGTATCAATGGTGGAGCAGAGTTGGAGCAGAGGGCAGGACTATAGAACAGCTTTCCTTTTCCTAATATTAGGCTGGGTACACGTGGGCCAAAAATGGGCGAAAACAGTCAGTTTATCAGGAACCGCCTTCTGTCAAATGGGCATGCTGCAGTCCTCCAAGATAACTGGGAACAATGTAACTAAAAACCATATATCACATGCAGAAAGCACAGGACGTTATTAGCTCACAAGACAGACAGATATTTTTTGCACTTACAGTCATGGCCAAAAATATTGGCATCCATGCATTCCTGTCAGATAATGCACCACTTCGCCCAAAAAATTCTTGCAGTTACAAATGTTTCGGCATTCTTATGTTTATTTCCCTTGTTTGTATTGGTATGACACAAAAAAGCTTAGAAACAAAGAGCCAAATCTGACAAATTCCATGCAAAACGCCAAAAATGGACTGGAGAAAATTATTGGCACCCTCAATTTAAAAGTTGGTAGCACATCCCTTGGAAAAAATAACTGAAATCAATGGCTTCCTGTAACCATCGATGAGTTTCTTCCACCTCTCTACTGGAATTTTGGAACACTTTTCTTTCGCCAACTGCTCCAGGACTGTCAGTCCAGTGTACAACTCACACTCTGTACTGGAATCCGGCATAAAGCTCACACTCTATACTGAAATCCAGTATACAACTCACATTCTATACTGGAGTCTAGTGTCCAACTCACACCCTATACTGGAGTCCAGTGTCCAACTCACATTATATACTGGAGTCCAGTGTCCAACTCACACTCTATATTGGAATCCAGTGTCGAACTCACACTCTATACTGGAGTCCAGTCTACAACTCACACTTTATACTGGAATCCAGTCTACAACACACACTCTATACTGGAATCCAGTCTACAACTCACAATCTATACTGGATTCCAAGTGTACAACTCACATTTAATACTGGAGTCCAGGATACACACACTCTATACTGGAATCTCACAACTCACAATCTATACTGGATTCCAGTGTAGTCCAGGATACAACTCACACTCTATACTGGAGTCCAGTCTAGAACCCACATTTTATACTGGAGTCCAGTCTGCAACTCATACTCTATACTGGAATCCAGTCTACAACACACATTCAATACTGGAGTCCAGTGTATAACTCACACTCTATACTGGAATCCAGTCTACAATTCACAATCTATACTGGAGTCCAGTCTACAACTCACACTCTATACTGGAATCCAGTTTACAACACACAATCTATACTGGAGTCCAGTGTATAACTCACACTCTATACTGGAGTCCAGGATACAACTCACACTCTATACTGGAATCCAGTCTACAACTCACAATCTATACTGGAGTCCAGTATACAACTCACACTCTATACTGGAGTCCAGTCTACAACACACACTCTATACTGGAGTCCAGGATACAACTCATACTCTATACTGAAATCCAGTCTACATCTCACAATCTATACTGGAGTCCAGTCTACAACACACAATCTATACTGGACTCCAGTGTCTAACTCACACTTTATACTGAAATCCAGTCTACAGCTCACAATCTATACTGCAGTCCAATCTACAACTCACATTCTATACTGGAGGCCAGTGTCATGCTCACACTCTATACTGAAGAATTTCCCCCTGATTTCTTTAAATGTCTATTTTTCTTACTAATAATATATAAGCTTGTTTTTTCATTTTTATTTCAGCGTTGCATTAAAAACATTAAAAAAAAGAGCTTTTTGTTTGTTAATAGCTTTAACATAATATGTTAGTGTCATTTTTAATGGGACAAATAATAAAATAATATTTATATGTTTTATCTACAGCAACACTAATAAAAAAAAACTGATAAAAGTAGAAAAAAAGTGGGGTTTTTTTGTTACTTTTTTTGGTCTACAGATTGCATAAAAAATAAACTCATTTCAGCAAGACATAATTACCAAAAGAAAGCCTAATTTGTGCAAAAAAATGTATGTATTATTTGATATCGTAAAGTTGAGCTCTAGGCAAGACCTTTAATACATATATACATTGATCCAGCTTAGCACAGAGTAAATATCTCATACCTGAGGGGCCTGTGTAGAAACTGGAAATCACTGTAGTAGTTGCTACTACAGTGATAGACCAGATATGCATTCCTACAGTTTACCAAGCTGCACCAATGTAAGCATGCAGTAAAGTTATTGCCAAATGAAAAAGCACATAGGGAAAATGTAAAAATTGCTTTGGTCCATAGGCGTTGTATTGGTGTAAGAGATAGGGTAGTGTTATCATGAATGTCCCCTTCAAGTCCCAATAGAATGATATCTCAGTACAGTAAATCCAAGAACATTACTGGGAATTCCAATAAAGTGAGCTCAGGATTGATGCAGGCATCTAAAAGAGTCAGTAAGCCAATCACAGGAACAGGGGGATGAACATTCTAGGAAAACCTGACTCCAAATGGATACTAAGGATTTTGAAAATTTGGAGTCATCAGCCCCCTGCATTGGGAATAGGAGGAGTGTAGCAGTTACATCCAGTTTGGTTGTTACAATGGATTTGTAGTCTCACCTCTGGCTGCTCCCAGTATGATGTAACACACAATGATGGGGGTCAGTGTCTTCATCATCAGCATCGTACAGAAGGGGCTATGTCTATGAATCTTCATTCTTGGAGGAAAACAATATAGTGAGCATTACAATATACCAACAATGAAAGAGAATACAGGAGGGGAAGTGATCTGGCTGGAGTAAAGTTTCACAGATCAGATTACAGAGAAAACAGTTTAATGTTACTGACAGAGTTGAGGATTTATACTGTTTTAGGGAAGTAATGCTGTCACATGACGTTGTACTCTTACCTTACCTGCTCCACTCCAACATAGCTCTGATTATTGTTCCTTGTAGACAGGAAATGACTGAACATACAGAAATACTATTACGTCAGAGAAAATATTCATTTTTATTTTATAACACTCCTGGAAGGCATCCAGATCAAACAAATGGGGAAGTGAGAAGGGAAAAGGAAAGAAGAGAGATAAAGAGAGATACAGTCATGTGCTTCCCAAGCTGATTATGAGACCATTGGGTAAAGAGAGATCAGGGATTGGGGCGAAGTATCAGATGCAATATAATCGCTACACTGAAATCCATTCTACAACTCACACTCTATACTGGAGTCCAGTCTACAACTCACACTCTATACTGGAGTCCAGTCTACAACTCACACTCCATACTGGAGTACAGCCTACAACTCACACTCTATACTGGAGTCCAGTCTACAACTCACACTCCATACTGGAGTACAGCCTACAACTCACACTCTATACTGGAGTCCAGTCTACAACTCACACTCTATACTGGAGTCCAGTCTGCAACTCACACTCTATACTGGAGTCCAGTCTGCAACTCACACTCTATACTGGAGTCCAGTCTGCAACTCACACTCTATACTGGAGTCCAGTCTACAACTCACACTCTATACTGGAGTCCAGTCTGCAACTCACACTCTATACTGGAGTCCAGTCTGCAACTCACACTCTTATACTGGAGTCCAGTCTACAACTCACACTTTATACTGGAGTCCAGTCTACAACTCACACTTTATACTGGAGTCCAGTCTAAAACTCACACTCTATACTGGAGTCCAGTCTACAACTCACACTCTATAGTGGAATCCAGTCTACATCTCACACTTTATACTGGAGTCCAGTCTACAACTCACACTCTATACTGGAGTCCAGTCTACAACTCACACTCTATACTGGAGTCCAGTTTACAACTCACACTCTATACTGGAGTCCAGTCTACAACTCACACTCTATACTGGAGTCCAGTCTACAACTCACACTCTATACTGGAGTCCAGTCTACAACTCACACCCTATACTGGAGTCCAGTCTGCAACTCACACTCTATACTGGAGTCCAGGATCCAACTCACACCCTATACTGGAGTCCAGTCTGCAACTCACACTATATACTGGAGTCCAGTCTGCAACTCACACTCTATACTGGAGTCCAGTCTGCAACTCACACTCTATACTGGAGTCCAGTCTGCAACTCACACTCTATACTGGAGTTCAGTCTACAACTCACACTTTATACTGGTGTCCAGTCTGCAACTCACACTCTATAGTGGAGTCCAGTCTACAACTCACACCCTATACTGGAGTCCAGTCTGCAACTCACACTCTACAACTCACACTCTATACTGGGGTCTAGTCTACAACTCAAACTCTATACTGGAGTCCAGTCTACAACTCACACTCTATACTGGAGTCCAGTCTACAACTCACACCCTATACTGGAGTCCAGTCTGCAACTCACACTCTATACTGGAGTCCAGGATCTACAACTCACAATCTATACTGGAGTCCAGTCTGCAACTCACACTCTATACTGGAGTCCAGTCTACAACTCACAGTCTATACTGGAGTCCAGTCTACAACTCACAATCTCTATTCTGGAGTCCAGTCTACAACTCACACTCTATACTGGAGTCAGTCTGCAAACTCACACTCTATACTGGAGTCAGTCTACAACTCACACTCTATACTGGAGTCCAGTCTGCAACTCACACTCTATAGTGGAGTCCAGTCTGCAACTCACACCTATACTGGAGTCCAGTCTGCAACTCACACTCTACAACTCACACTCTATACTGGAGTCCAGTCTGCAACTCACACTTTATACTGGAGTCCAGTCTACAACTCACACTCTATAGTGGAGTCCAGTCTACAACTCACACCCTATACTGGAGTCCAGTCTGCAACTCACACTCTACAAGTCCAGTCTCACACTCTATACTGGGGTCCAGTCTACAACTCACACTCTATACTGGAGTCCAGTCTGCAACTCACACTCTATACTGGAGTCCAGTCTGCAACTCACACTCTATACTGGAGTTCAGTCTACAACTCACACTTTATACTGGAGTCCAGTCTACAACTCACACTCTATACTGCACAGACAACACACCTTCCACGCTGTGACAAACTGTGGGTGCGGCAAATTGCACTGACAATGGGAGAGGCTTAAAACGTGATTCTACTCAGTGTGTACACAGTAACATATGGCTTAGTATGTGCTACAATCAGGAGTCTGACAAACATTTACAAACTTCAGCACATTGATTTTTTTAATATAAGAAACTCTACCATTACATATGCTTTTCTGCACACAGCCTACCGTAAAGTAATGCTTCATGAAGAGTGACCACTGAGCTACCACCATCTGTACAATTCAGCATAAATAGTGCAAGGGTCAGGTGTATGTCATATACAGCCCAGCATATTGAATACCCTTTAGGCAGATCTCTACTGGTGGCAGCAAAGAAGTATGAAACAAATAAGGGTGGCTTAAGGCCTCTCATCACACTGATGCCGCAGATGTCCTCCCAATGGTGATCAATCTTACACAGGGCTGGTGCAAGGATTTTTGTCTACACAGGTGAAGGTGCATTTTGCTGCCCCCATCTCCCCCCTGTTCTTCTGCCCCCCCCAATCCTCTGTGAGCATGACAGGAGGACGGGCATGTGAAAGGAGGTGAGCAGAGTGGGAGGAGGGGGCTCTGTGACAGAATGGGGGCAGTGTGACAGGTCGGGGGGCAGGGTGACAGCAGGGGGCACTGTGATGGAGGGGGCAGTGTGAAAGAATGGGAGCAGTGTGAATGAAGGGGGGCAGGGCAATCAGGGCACTGTGAGAGGAGGGGGCTAGGGTGATGGGGGGGGACACTGTGAGAGGTGAGAGGCCAGGGTGACAGGTGGGGGGGGGGGCACTGTGAGAAGAGCAGTACCGGGACAAGTCCACCTAGGGCCCAGGGCAAGGATGCAGAATTGCACCCCCCCCACTGTTAATTAATGCCATAGAATGGGTCTCCTATGCTGTGTCCATTCTCTGCTCCCTTGTGCTGCTATGCCTAGGGGCGGCTGCCCCTCCTGCCCACCCTTTGTCTGGGCCCTGGAGAAGAGGGAGGCACTGTGAGACGAGGGGAACCGCGAAAAGAGGGGGTGCTATGGGAGGTGCTGTGAGAGGAGGGGGGCGCTGCGAGTGGATGTGAATGGAGGACAACACCTGGACACATTAAAGTTGGGCACTGTACATTCATCCAGAGCCAGGAATCTGATGTGGCAGAGAATATGTTGTGTTGTGGCAGGCTAAACAGGCGGGAGTGTCCATGAGGCAGGAATGGACTCTTACCTTACCCAGAAGAAGCAGCCTGGAGCCAAGAAATGGGAGCCAGAGTTGAGGGGTGCGGAGCTGATGATAAGTTTTCCTCCTGATGTCTGCAGCTGCACAGCGTATCAACGGTCCAGCAACCAATGACTAACTTAATCTTTCTTCTATGGCGATCAGAACCCTCCTGTGACAGATGGATTGCTGCTGAGGCTCGGGCATCCAGTCTACAACTCACACTCTATACTGGAGTCCAGTCTACAACTCACACTCTATACTGGAGTCCAGGATACAACTCACACTCTATACTGGAGTCCAGTCTACAACTCACACTCTATACTGGAGTCCAGGATACAACTCACACTCTATACTGGAGTCCAGGATACAACTCACACTCTATACTGGAGTCCAGTATACTGGGGTCCAGTCTACAGCTCAAACTCTATACTGGAGTCCAGACTACAGCTCACACTTTATACTGGAGTCCAGTCTACAACTCAAACTTTATACTGGAGTCCAGTCTACAACTCACACTCTATACTGGAGTCCAGTCTACAACTCAAACTCTGTACTGGAGTCCAGTCTACAACTCACACTCTATACTGGAGTCCAGTCTACAACTCAAACTCTGTACTGGAGTCCAGTCTACAACTCACGCTCTATACTGGAGTCCAGTCTGCAACTCACACTCTATACTGGAGTCCAGTCTACAACTCACTCTATACTGGGGTCCAGTCTACAACTCAACTCTATACTGGAGTCCAGACTACAGCTCACACTCTATACTGGGGTCCAGTCTACAGCTCAAACTCTATACTGGAGTCCAGACTACAGCTCACACTCTATACTGGAGTCCAGTCTACAACTCACACTCTATACTGGAGTCCAGAGTCCATCTCTAGTCCAGTCTACAACTCACACTCTATACTGGAGTCCAGTCTACAACTCACACTCTATACTGGAGGTCCAGTCTACAACTCACACTCTATACTGGAGTCCAGTCTACAACTCACACTCTATACTGGAGTCCAGTCTACAACTCACACTCTATACTGGGGTCCAGTCTACAACTCACACTCTATACTGGAGTCCAGTCTACAACTCACACTCTATACTGGAGTCCAGTCTACAACTCACACTCTATACTGGAGTCCAGTCTACAACTCACACTCTATACTGGAGTCCAGTCTACAACTCAAACTCTATACTGGAGTCAGTCTACAACTCACGCTCTATACTGGAGTCCAGTCTACAACTCACACTCTATACTGGAGTCCAGTCTACAACTCACACTCTGTACTGGAGTCCAGTCTACAACTCACACTCTATACTGGAGTCCAGTCTACAACTCACACTCTATACTGGAGTCCAGTCTACAACTCACACTCTATACTGGAGTCCAGTCTACAACTCACACTCGGTACTGGAGTCCAGGATACAACTCACACTCTATACTGGAGTACAGTCTACAACTCACACTCTATATTGGAGTCCAGGATACAACTCACACTCTATACTGGAGTCCAGTCTACAACTCACACTCTATACTGGAGTCCAGTCTACAACTCACACTCTATACTGGAGTCCAGTCTACAACTCACACTCTATACTGGAGTCCAGTCTACAACTCACACTCGGAGTATACTGGAGTCCAGTCTACAACTCACACTCTATACTGGAGTACAGTCTACAACTCACACTCTATATTGGAG